GAGGCCGTAGGAAATCATCAGGCCGATCGCCGTGACGAATTGATAGTAACGCTAATGAGCACGGGCTGTTTGGGCCGACCACAAAGCGGAGTTGACTGACGACTGTGAACACGGTGAAGTCATGTGGAAAGGAAAACCAGACAATCGGACTTCACACGGTACTCTCATTTCAATACTGCCGTGTTGAATACAGAAACTTTCACGCTTACTGACGAGATCAAAGCAATCAGCGTTAATTGGTTAACTTGGTACTTTCAGTGATGATACAAGAAACATTTCAGGCACAACACAAACATACCATCTAACTTCGACATATACCTCACCTAACTAGCTTTCGTGCCAGTAACGTCCTCACCAGTGGCAATTAATGAGGATAACAACGACATAACAAGCACCATACCGACAGCGGCCCTGTATCATCGTTATGCAGATGTTTCCCGAGTTTCCCGGCCCCATAAGTCATCGTCTGCCATAACCAACTACCGTCTCCGTGATGGATAGGCCACGACCGGCGTGTTCTCACAGCTTGACGCGTCGATTTCACTAGACGCCGGCTGCCGTGGAAGTCCATAATGTAAATATATAATCGACTTCAGAAGTCGATGCGGGGCCACGACACAGCGAACGAGAAGGCGAATTGATACTGGGAATGGCTATGGATAACGCTCGACGCCGCCTCAAGACGTACACTACAGCAAGCAGCAACTTCAGCACTACTGAACAAACAATCCATGATATACTTGTGAAAACTCCCAGGGTCTCAGTAGCCCACCAGAAACGTGCGATTTGCTCAACCGCCACAACACCACAACACTGTCGCCCATGTCCAGCGCAGCGGTCGTTGTGTGTTTCGTGGGGGAGAACGTGTCACCACACCAGTCTGACCGAGCTGACTCACACAGGGTCCCGTTGTGCGATAGTCATCAGCAGAACGGGCCCACGTGCACTCGACCACGGGCACGCTCACAGCGGGAAAAGTTCCCGGCCGCACCTTGGGTCGTCGACGGGCGGGTGTGAGAGCGGAGATGGGTGCCGAGGGGTGTGCGTGTGCCGTTGATCAGCGGGCGGTGCGCAATTTTGAAGCGTGAGAGCCAGGCCGCGCATAGCGTAAGTGGTTAAACGAAGACGCAACTCGCTGAGACAACCCGAAAGGACTCGGTGCATTGTCGGCGCTCCTCTCATTCAACCCAGCCCGGTGTTCTAAAACTCAAAACAAGGTTATCAGCCTTGTCCCCACATCTCAATACGAGCGGCACAAAGACGCCGCCGATCACAGACGTCATCGCCTCGGCAAACAAATGAGCCCCTCCCAGTGAGTTTCTGTCTGCACGCGGCGCATATCGACTCACATCACATTCGTGCATGGGTGAATGGGCCCGCTAAAGAACCATGGTCAAACATGTGACTCTCCAGCGACCATCAGTGCCAATGATAGCAATATATGACAAACAGATCAACGGCCAGCACCGAATAAGGCAGCAGTAACCAATTCAGACCCAGGCATAGTCTCAGTGCAGTTGGCTCAATCAGGTTCCACGAATTCAGTCAGTCAACCCACATGCAGATTGCTTACATATGCCATTCGCAGGGCGCGCTCCATTGCAATCGAGGGTAATCAATGCCTGCGGCCCGCCTCATCACCGCGGTTGGAACAACAAACTCGAGCGCTGGCGCCCAGCCAAGTAAGCTCGGGTGGGAGCCATCAGTCATGGGACTGGGGTGTCATTCACTCCCCACTGTGTTGGTTGGTAAGAGTTCCTTCAGCGCCGGACCGCGCTAGGGTGTAGCAGTTCTGCTATGATACGAGTGGTTCTGTACGGCTCAGGTGGCTTTCACATTGTCTCGCCGCAAGTTTGATCAGTGTCCAATGTCCACAGATATTAGATATTACTCAAAGAAGGAGAGCCTTGCAGAGAACAGGTAGCACCGAAGGACGCACCACAGGGTGACCAACTGACCACCTCAATGTCAAGCACCAGAAATCGCCCAGCTGAACACTTCGTGATGTTAAAACCCAGACAATCATCTGATGAACAGTGGCCTATCTAATGGAGGTGGGCGGATCTGCTACACATATATCCTAGCCACTACCCACTTCAGAACTAACTCAATACAGAAGTGAATAGTGAATACTGAAGTGTCACTCCCCACGTCACTGAGATTGGGCAGGGATGGCACTTCCCACTCTGTCAGCACAGAACTGGAGCATTACTCTATTACATACATTGGATCAGAGCTGAAATGTGTTCCCCTAATCCAATGTGAACTGAAGTAAAAGTGAAGAAGTGAAGAACTGAAATGCTGGATGATGGGGGTTGGGGTGGGGTGGATTCTCACTCCTCCTTAGTGTTTCTGATGCTCACAAAGCTGTTTTGAGCATGATGCTAATTTCTGGAAATGCCTCAAGGTTATTGTGATTGGCATAAAGTGAAACATGGTACGGATAGCAGTGCAGCAGGCAGGAAAGCTTGGCTGATTCTCAGACTTATGATGATATTCTGAATGAGGAGCTGGGTAGGAATTTTAAATAGACCAAATGTGTGTGCAAATACTTTTACAAGTTCTCAGTAGAAGCACCTGCAACTATGATATCTGACCAGAAATATTGTGTTCAAACTAGACCCTAGACAAGTGCCAAAGACTGGCAGGCTCAGGGTAAAACAATCTTTCCTAGACATTCTAAAAGCAGGTTGGTGGCTAGGTACCTATCTATACACCTTACCTTACCTTACCTTAGAAGTACACAGAATTTTGAGGCCAAGTGGCAGGCCTATTGGACCGGATCATTACTTTAAACTCGCTCTGTTTCTATACTATACTGATACAGGATAGGATGGATACTGAGGGATAAACATGGTGTGACTAAGCACTGCTCCAGTGCTCTGAAGTCTGGAACATTGCTCTCAATCTCAATCTTCTTGAATTTATTATGAAAAAAGTTTAAAATTTTTGTTCCTCTACATAACAAATGCCTATTTCTGAATGGGTTTAAACAAATCAAAAATTAAATCTTAATGTGTATGGAAATGCTAAGCAGTGTTAAGATATTGAATGACTTTATAAAATTGAGGGGATAAACTGTTTATCAGAGGCAAGAAAAAACTGAAGACATGCCTATTAAAAATATATAATTTAGTTACACATTTAGGATGGAATGTATGTTTTACTAAAATGCACTTACAGCCAATTTATTACTAAAACGTGCAGGGCCTTCTGTCGAATACCAAAGGCGAAATATGTTGACTCACAACTGACACCCGAGATGACGATATCAACCACAAAAAGGAAGGATTCTAGAATCCTACCATACTTTGTGGGCATTGCATCAAATCATCATCCAGATTTGGTAGTAGCATCAAAACTCAGTAGGCGGAACTATGGTCATGAGTACCCAAATATAGGAACGTTCCCATTTTTGGGAACGGAGTTCCCAAATATGGGAACGGGCGTTCCCATTTATGAGAACGGAAGGCAATTTTTCGGCCGTTCGCCCACTAAAACTCAAAAGTGCATCACGTCTCAAAAAAGTGCACGCTGATTTAAGTATCTACTAAATCTCCATAAAGTTATCTTTAATCTGACCGTGGAACAAGGAAATTGACCGTGGAATGATATTTTTAATGATTTTTTAAAAATGACAGAATGGTGGAAATATGGGTTATACGACATTTAACATGCAAGTTTAAGGAAAATGAAGCATTTTTTACATTTTGAGGTCAAGTATAATAATTTTCGCCTGGTTATGAAGTTTCATTCTAGCGACACCAGATGATGACATATGCAAGCGAACACGCGGACAGTCCCGAGGTAATATTGTTGACATTTGGTGTCGGGGCGATCGACCGCGTGGAACGTCAGTGATTTTACCGAACTACTGTTGTAAACTCAGTTTCAGTGGTTTAAAATCATTCAGCTGTATTTTATCAGCCCTGAAAGACATATTTTATTTGGATGCTAGCTGTTTAGCGTTGTTTTATAAGCAGTGTCATGAGCGTGGTTTTTGTCTTCGGCGTTTCTAAGCATGATCGGTTGGGGGAATTTCTCTGATATAGGTCGCTCTGTGTGGCTTATTTATAATTTTTATGCTGATTTCGATCATACGTCGTGCCCATCCTACCAGGCCTTTTGCCACTTACACTCATTAAGAAAGGAAAAAACTAGATTTTCATTGGGACTAGGTGTTTTGAGGGTGTAACATATTCAGCGTTCCCATTTTTGGATACTTCTTGTGCTCGTCAACTCTCGGTGATTAGCAGACAGGTGCTTGACATGTCTCCACCCTCGGCGCGGACGGTGGATATAGGTATGGAAGACCTTGTTGAACATCGCTGAGCGTTGTGGATTACGTAATCCTGCAGAGGGGGGCGTGCCCGCTGCGAGATCGACGGGAATAAAAGCGCAGAAGACCGGGCGAAACATGCAACGGTCTTGCCGGAAAGGTCATCTGATGATTGTTGCGTTAACAATAATTTGCGGCGTTGGACGTGATGCTTGTTAATGAAAAGAGCCCCTGAAAGGCGTCGGTGAAATCGTTCCCAATTTTGGGTACGCCGTTCCCATAATAAGGAACGCTTGCAGCGCCAGTGTACGACAGCGTTCCCAAATTTGGGCTCGCGGCCCGGGTGATGGACTGCTTTAGAAATAGGGGAACGATTTGAAACTACGATGGGCCTTACAATATCAAACTCTTTCCCAACAATATTGAGACAACTATCAGGCGGTTCACGATCGTTTTATATTTTTTGGACGTCATTTAACAGTTCTTTTTCTTGTTTTAAATAATGCCTACATGGCGTTCCCATATTTGGGTTTATCGTTCCCAAACATGGGAACGAAAATGCGTTCCCGAAAATGGGTACGCTTGACCATAGTTCCGCCTACTGAACTAAGCAGCTTCTTTGCACAATCTCATGAAGATTACAGAATTCACATACATTCACTACCGATATTGAAGACGGAACACATTAATACACAAAAAAATTACCTCAGGCTGTACTTACCCAAAGTCATCATCCATAGACTTGAAAAAGAACTTAAAATTCGGCCTATTTAATACATTTTTAAAGTCACCTAGGGTCACTGCATCTGGTGGCTTATTGATCTTCACCAGATAAGGCGTTTCCTCATCGTCTATGTGGTAGATGATTTTAGTTTCTTTGGAGCTCTCCATCACTGGCCTTCACCAAAATATCACGAATCACCACTCATCACCCTCCTCGCCTCAAATCGCCGAGACGTAAACAACACAGCACACTGCCCATTAAAAATGGCGTCTTGCATCCGCGAAATACGTCAGGTCACGTGACCATCTCCTTCAAGGAAGTGCGATAGATGGCGTTGTCTGTCAGCTCATCCCGTTTAGAGCGTCCAATTTATCACCAAAAGAAACCAACGACTTGAAAAACTGTCACTCTATCTGGATTCACATTGGGTCTGTTCCAGTCGCACTTCCTAACCACCCTAAACTCCTCCAAAATTGCTTCCCTGTTCCAGTGGCAGCTCTAGCCCCTACAAAGCCAAGGAGGGCCCTGCTCTAACCTCCTCTATCTTGCTCTTGGAGGAGTTTAGAGGTGTTAGGAAGTGCGACTGGAACAGACCCATTGAAATGGGTAGGTAACCCCGTGGTAACCCAACCAGAGTCCAGAAACGCAGGCCATAGAACCCACTATCCTGGGCCCTGTTTCACCGGTAATACCAGCACGCTGCTATTACACGTATCAAATTGGGTTTCCATGCAGAGATGTCAGCAAGCCTATTCCTCCAACACTACCAGAAGTATGACGTCAGCTCGCGAAATGGAATAGCAGCGGCCAGCGTGCCGCTATCACCGATGAAACAGGGCCCTGGAAAATGAAAATAAAAATGTTTATCAGTGATGCGCAGAATAGTAAATGCGTCTTTTACTGCCGGCATTGTTGCGAAGTTTTCTGGTATTCCGTGTTTTATCGCCTTCGGGCAAAGCATGCTTTTTCGTTTGTTTCCGTCTATAGCAAGTGAAAGCCTCAAAGATTCGGCGCTACGCTACGATTCCCGAGTCCTGACTAGCTTCATGTGCTGATGTTGGGGAGCGGCGGCCGTTCGTATCGGCCGCCGGCAGCGTGCGCCGACGCTGCAGCCTGCAGTCTCGGCCGGCCAGTGACGTAGGTGACGTGGCGGCCGCTGATTGGTCGGCGGGCGCCCAGCCCCCCTATATAATGCGGCGCATCGCCGGCGGCGGGAGTCGGCCCCCGCCGAAGTTAGTTGGTAGCACTGCCGCTCCACGGCGTACATTTCCTACCAGCCCATAGGGTTTACATGTTAAATGGCCTGTTTTCGGCGAGCGATATCTCGGTCAACCTTTGAAGGAATCAATGGTTCTTAGTCTCAAATGATAGATCGATGAATTTTCTTTCGACAATTCCTCTACCATTTTTCACGAAACCCAGCCGATCTTCTACGGCGTACAGGGTAAAGATTTCTCTGCACGCCAGCACCCGCGATCCGCCTCTCCGATCGTCGGCGCGCGGTCCTCGGTAGCGCAGTCGGTAGCGTATCGGGCTACGGATTCGAGGGTCGTGAGTTCGAATCCTGGGGGCGCCGCGTGATTTTGGCTAGAACTGAATGATGTAGATTCTTGAATGTGTGCATAATCAATTATTAATAGCTAATTGAATGTATCTGCCCACTTATCGGCCCTTAAAACCTGTTATTTAAGAAATTTAAGAAATGAATGTCACGTGCGCGTCATGACTGCCAACCATAAGCGCTACCATATTCTAGTTTGAACTAACTTTTTGCTAGTCCCGACCACATATAGTAGGTTTTCTAGTAGTTATACTAGAAATTCCTACCAAAGTTCGTCCTACCCTTCACTCAATATACCCTGGCGGGAGTCGCTGAGCGGGTTGCTCGGCGAGAGGGGCTCGGGGCTGAGCGGTTGGCTCGCCAGGGGAAGCTCCGGGATGAGCTGGCGGACAAGAGGTCCGGCCTGATGGGCAGTCAGGGTTTTAGCGTGTAATGAGCCGATGTACATAGATCAATACATTAGATAGCTGAGCCGTGGTGTTTACCCGAGAATGCGTGTATCGAACAACTGGCGCGGTCGGTAGGACGGTTCGGACACTAGCGGACACGCATTCGTTGGGTTACACCATTTAAAGCAAATTTTCATTTCTATTTTATTTGGAATCGGCTCAGTAGAGTAACGTAACATGGAAAGAGAAATTTTACTTTTAGCTAACTTTGAAAATTTCACGGGGAAAGATGGACAATCATGGGGTCAGTGGTACCGGCGGTTCCGGGCGAAGACGGTCACGTTCTCTGAGGAGAGTCGGCAGCGGGGCTTGGTCAGCCTGCTGCAAGATGGCGCCCTGGACCACTTCGCCACGCTGTCTGAGGAGGTCCAAAGCAGTCTCCAGCGAACTGTGGCCTCACTGGAAGCCCGCTTCGGCACGGCGAAAAATGCGATGCAGGCGCACGCTGAGCTGGCAAACATCCGGCAGCAGCCCGGTGAGGCAACGCGCGACTTCGCCGACAGAGTGCGCCAAGTAGGCCGGGAGGCATACCCAGGAGCGAGAGCCGGCGACCCGTCCGTGGAAGCGACCGTCGTCAGCCGCTTCGTGTGCGGCCTCCGTGAGGAAGAGCTGCAGACGCGGGTGCTTAGAAAAGACCCGTCCAGCCTCACCGAGGCCATGGGGGTCGCGGATAAATTCCAGCAGCAGCAGGACGCACTCCGGGTCATGCGTCGGCCCATCGGGGGCGAGGCGTTGGCGGTCCGAGACCGAGACGCGCCCGGCACTGCGCGGCTAGACGCCCTGGAAAGGGTAATTGGAGAGCTGCAGCGCGCCCTGCAGGCTCTTGAGACGGCGGGAAGGCGGGACGCCTACCGCACGGGGCACGGGACAGGGGCGAGGAACTCCCAACGAGGGCCACCGAACCCAAACAGGCGGGGTACTGGGCGCCGTTGTTTTCGTTGCAGTAGCCCTGACCACCTGGTCCGCGACTGTCCAGCGCGGCAAGCACATGCTAATGAGCAGGCGAGGTGGTCCTTCCCACGCGGTCATCAGCAGGCGGGCCTGGAGTGGGCAGAGTGCCCCCGTGGTCCGTCTGAGGAGGCCGGCGGATGGACGCCTTTCTGTCGCGGGTGCAGCCGTGGGGGTCAGCGATGGGCGGGACGCCCGCCTGCCCCGGCGACTGCGGCCGTGGGCATGCCTGCCAGCCCGACAATGGGGGGCCCCACAGCGCACGCGGGTCACTGGCAGCGGGGGGACACACCGGCAGCGGAGTGCGGCCGTGAGTGGCAGCGGAGGGTGGCTGACCCACCTGCACTCTACGGTCCACCCACCGCGGGGCAGCCCACACACACGGGGGGTAGTAGCGCCACACGACAGTGGGAAGGGTGCCCCCACATCTGCGGTCACGCCCGCGGGAACGCCGAGGTCATGTCACGCCAGCCCCCGGGAACCACACCGTCGTTCGTGTGCACGGTACGATCAGAGCCGGCGGGCAGCGAGGCTCCGCCAACATCCCAACCCCCGCTCAATGAGATCGGGCATCACGAGCAGTCGGGGACCGAGAGCTCCGGTTTGGTGAGGCGCTGCTCACAGGTTTGCGCGCGGGCAGCGGCCCTCGTGACTTGTACCGCTCGGGCCGTCTTCAAGTCAGCACTAGCAGGACTCGACCGAAGGCGACAATGGCCGACCCCAGCGGCCTCATGCGTGGGCCCGGTCGAGCCCGACGGGTCCGGGACGAGCCGTTGCGGGGGCGGGCAGCCCAGCAGCGGCTGCGTCGAGGACACGGTGACCTCAAACGAGTCGGAGACGGAGAGCGCGTGCCGCTGCAAGGGCGGGTCGACCAGCATCGACATCGCGGGCCAACCTGACCGGCAGACCGCCCAGGCCAGCGGCGAGGTCAACTCGGCTGATGAGGTGGCGGGCAGAGAAGTACGCGCCGTCAGCCGCCCAGGTGTCGACGGAGAAGCAGGCGACACCAGTCCAGTGGAGCAGAGCAACAGGCAGAGGGCCAAAGACGAGAGCCCGCCGCGCAATCACGCCCGACAGGACTTCAGCCATCAGACGCCCTCAGACATATCGATGCCGGAAGAGTGTAGCATGGCCGTGGGGACAGAAGTTCAGTATGCGCAGGTAGTCGACGACCTCGTCGGCATTGCCACGGCGAGTGGGCGCAGGGCAGCAGTGCCACCTTCCCTGCGCACCCACGTGATGCAGCTGGCACACGAGCCACCGACGGGCGGGCACACGGGCCATCGCCGCACCACGCTCAGGGTGAAACGGAACTTCGTGTGGCCCGGGATGTATAAAGACATCAGGGATTTCTGCAGGACGTGCGCCTTCTGCCAGAGGCGGGACAAGTCCGCTACATCGCCAAAGGCCCCAACAAGGACCAGACCGGTCACACAACCTGGCGAGCGCGTAGCCGGTGACAAAGTGAAACCGCTGACAGCCGTGTGGTGCGCGCGGCATCACCCAGTCGGTCCGCCCGCTCCGTGCCGAGCGCGGTACGGGCGGCTCAGCCACCCCTCTGCACAATATGAGATTGGGGGCTCGTGAGCTGTGTGTATTGCTGAAACCAAAGTGCGTTGTGGACTCGATCGTTGTGAGGGGTCGCTTGTGTTAGTCAGTTTGCCGAGCGCTCGAGAACGTGTGTTTCCTTGTAGTTTATGTGCGCGGGTAATGTTGCGATGTACTGTGGGCTATGTTGTAAAGTGTCGTACATGCTTGTGAAATGTGAGCGGTTGTACACTTCTCTTGTGTAGGGGGGGTGTGTGTTGGGGAGCGGCGGCCGTTCGTATCGGCCGCCGGCAGCGTGCGCCGACGCTGCAGCCTGCAGTCTCGGCCGGCCAGTGACGTAGGTGACGTGGCGGCCGCTGATTGGTCGGCGGGCGCCCAGCCCCCCTATATAATGCGGCGCATCGCCGGCGGCGGGAGTCGCTGAGCGGGTTGCTCGGCGAGAGGGGCTCGGGGCTGAGCGGTTGGCTCGCCAGGGGAAGCTCCGGGATGAGCTGGCGGACAAGAGGTCCGGCCTGATGGGCAGTCAGGGTTTTAGCGTGTAATGAGCCGATGTACATAGATCAATACATTAGATAGCTGAGCCGTGGTGTTTACCCGAGAATGCGTGTTCCGAACACTGACTGCCGATTAGTGTTATATGGTAGGTTCAGTTCGCGTTCGATCCACACAGTATACTGCGAGTCTGATGCCAGATACCGCTTACTGGGGAATCAGTCAGTTTGCAGAAGAGGGACAGGTGACACTAATATATTTCACAGATAAACATAGGACATACAGGCATCATGAAATGAATGAAACGTGACCAATCAAAACTGGTCGACAAAGCTCATCGAACATTGTCGAAGTGACTGAAACAACGATTAGATGTGACTAGAATACGTTACAAGACACAAAATGAAAACACATTTTCATAATCGTGTTGGAAACAGGGTAAAAAGTAGTGTGTTAGCACCACATCAATTTGAGACTGCATGACTGGTCGGCATTTGCCCGATACCTACAACGAAAATACATGTTCGCAGCTTCTTAATATATGTTCGAAGCTCAACTGCAGAGCAAACACATGTAAGTTCATAGCAGTGCTCTGTTGCCACAAGATGTTACACTAAATATACAAAGCCTAATGGCTCAACCAACATATGACATAAAATTAGTGATCATTCGTGAAGTGTTTCGAACATGAAACATCCTTCACTAACAGCGACCGCTGCACAAAATGGCAATACGCGTCAAAGTGGACGGACTGCTGGACGGATACGTTAGACGTTAGCCTCTGTCTTCAGGGCATGGTGACACTACCGGGACTTGTGAAGATGTGCACAGAAACTCAAAATCAATTAACATTTGAACTTCGTCTATGTCGACAGTTTGCGAACAGCATTAACACGCGCAGTGGAAGGGTTGCGAGTACTACGCCCAGTGGAAGGGGGGGCGGATGTCGCCCCCCCCCTAAGATCTCAGCTCCCACTGGAGCTAGGAAGACGAAATTTGGAGGGTAGGTGGGGGCCCAGGGGAACTCTGTTGTGTGTGAATTTCATGACCCTAGGTCAATATCTTCAAGGTCAAATGAGGTCAAAAGTGGTCAAATCTGCCATATTAGCGACTTTTTTGCGTTTACACGCCGATAACTCAAAAAGTTACCGGCCGATTTTCTTTTTTCTTTCACTATACGAAAGATCATACATTTGTGAGTATGTATGGTGAATTTCTTGTTAATCCAACAATAAATATGGCAGTTAGAAGCCTGCTAAGCGTAAGATGTCGCCAGCTGAAGCGGGATCGGCGGACGCGGGAAACGCGGCAATCACAATTTTGTGTTTACACACTCATAACTCAAGTTGTTACCGGCCGATTTTCAAAATTCTTTGACCATAAGATTGCCTGTACATTTCTTAGTCTTCTCACAAAATTTGACGCGAATCGAATATAATCAGCGGTAAGGAGCGCGATGTAAAGACGGAACCGTCCCGCCCCGGCACAGTCTACAATTCAGGCGGCGCGTAACGGCTAGCGCCGGCCGCCGCGCCGCCGCGCCGCCGCGGCGGCAGGATGTTTGACTTTACACCGCTATTACTAGAAAAGTTGTGACCCGATTTTTTTATTTCTTGCACGAGAAGATCCGCAGTTCAATTCTGGACAGGTAGCCAAAATTTCACATTAATATCATGTTTGCGGCGCGAGTTATTGGCGAAAAACAGGAGGGGTGGGCGAAATCCGCCCCCCCCCCCTTCCACTGCGCGTGTTAACAAAAGCAATGAACCTAATTCATCCACATTATCATAATGCAGGCAAACACAATAAGCGTTTTACAATGAAAAATAAATATGACTTTCTGGTGAGGTATGATCATCTGAGACAAAACAACATAAATATCACGCATTCTTTCATCGTCCCTCGCGACGGTGCTCCACCCTAGTACCAGACTTCTCCGATAGATGTCGTCCCGATCGCTGTCGCCAAATCTCCCCGCTAGGTGGCAGTCTAGGCGGAGACGGCCACCTCGGCCACGGGCATGTTGATGACGGCCGAGAGGATGGGTCGCGACTGTGTGCCGCGCGTGATGAAGACGCGCACCTGGTCGGAGATGCCCAGATCGGAGACGAACTCCACCAGCGTGTCGTACACGTACGTCACGCCCGGGATCAGAATCGGTGCCTGCGGGTAGACGGCAGAGTACGACACGACGGTCAGCATTTTATTTATTTTTAGGGATATATCATTTCGGTCTGCTAAAAGCATTTCAGCTCCGTTCCGTCGTTTCTATCCTCAGGATTCTGAAATCCTTCTCCTCCACACCGCAACCCCCACTTCGGGCTGGACAGGCACCTTGATCTCATGCGGGCTGCTCCCTTGGAGCGGCACCGTTGCTCCCGAGGGAGCGCACCCCGTAGCCGGGTGCAGTGAGTACCTTGGGGCTGGGTGGCCTCGGCCTGTCCTCTGGACGGGCTCAGCTTCGGTGACTCACTAGGGTGCCTGCCCAGACCAATGTCTCCCGCTAATTCCTATCATCCTTCCGGCTCTGAAATGGTATTGTCAGACCGAAAGAGCCTAACCCAACAAAACAAAAAAGAGCATTTCAAAACTAAGTGGGATGAAAAATAAAGAGAAAGGCGTTAGGCTAGTTCGACCATCAGCTGGTACACCCCAGTAGCTGAGCCTGTTTGGTGGGAAATAGGACATAACAACACGGTCAACAGACCGGCGCCCAGTATCGCAAACGGTCCTTGCGTGGGTGCGTTGTGCTCTTTTAGGAGCTGCCATCACCCGGGTTGTCTGGGTGGGCGACGGTCAGCCTGGGCAGGGGAAGTGTGGTCAAAGATATATAAAGCTTAGTCTTGAGGATGGAACAAGCTCGCCTAGGTGACACACGGACACGGTAAGGTAGGGTTCAAGGCACTACTGGTAGTGTTGACTCCCGCCGATTCCCACTGATTTACAGACAAATCCAGACAGGCCTCTGTGACCCACAAGCCCGCTACACTCGAACTCACGTGCATGAATCGCCGCTGCACCTGGTAGAGCTTTTCGTCGGCGTGCACGCGGATGCCCAAGTCCTGGACGATCTTCAGAGCAGAGGTGTTCTGCAGCTCCACGCGGATCTTGAACATCGGGCCCAGTCCCAGCACCTGCAGACAGGCGAATGGGTCTCGGATCATTGACCAACTACATTCATCGCCTACCTTTATTAGAACTTTGGGAGAAGCTTGAAGTGGATAGATGACACATGGAAAGCCCCCCCCCCCCACACACACACACACACAGATGCCTCAAGGCTCAAGCATTGAATTTTCATTTCTGCTCTCTCCCATTCATTCATGTCAGGATGGCCGAGCGGTCTAAGGCGCTGCGTTCAGGTCGCAGTCTGGTTCTCCAGGCGTGGGTTCGAATCCCACTTCTGACAAACTGTTTGCCAGGCGGCCCTTCACACCTCTCGCAAGCCCATCCACAACCGTTGGGGGTTTTGCTGCCAGACACCTGCACTCCGCAGCAATGATCACGCAAATACACCCATAACCCTTGCACTCAGACGTCAGACCAAGGCAGGCCTGGGCAGGCGGTACCATCCTGTTCCCAACCCGCAACCAATAACATGGCCATCCAGCTGACTCCCCCGTTCGCAGACGAACCTGCGCCGCCAATCGGACGGGCTGCTCCTCAGTGGTGACGGGCGTCAGGCTCATCTGCAGCGACTTGACGTACTGTCGAGCGGCCTCCAGTCGCAGCAGGTACAGGTTGTACTGGAAGATGCGGTGCATCGCTGCGGGGACGGAGACACGGGCGCGAGTGGTGAGAGGGAGGCGGATATTTTGTATCACAGAGATTTTGGGAATTATTCGGACACGTAATCTGGTAACACTACCCATGGAGTTTATGGATCCTATTTTGAGTTAAAATAGTGTCATGCGGCATCGAAATGAAGAACACGTTCGAGACGCACTTAACCCGCGCACCGACGGGGGTCTGCGCCAACTTCGCACCGACGGGGGGGGGCGGATGACCGCCCCCCCCTGAGATCTCGAGAACGAAGCAAGATAGCGACAAGCGGTAAACGGCATCGGATACGCACGGTCAATATCTACAATTTTTACTAAGGTCATTTTCAGGTCAGGTCAAAGATGACGTCACAGGGGTCGAAAAAGTCAAAATGGCGGCGCTAGATATGGAGAGTTTTTCTCGAATAACTTTCGAATGAGTCAAGATAGGACCAAACTAAGGGCATCATCGTGATCTTCTCGTCAATCCGCATCGAATGATATATATGTTGACCTCGAAAGGTCAAGGTCAAAGGTTGACCTCAGGTCACGTGACCTCGAGGTCATCATGTATATCATTCGATGCGTCTTGACGAGCTGAACACAATGAGACCATCCACGCGGCTGTATCTTGTTCCTGTACGGAGTTATTGGCCAAAAACATTTGGTGACCTTTGATGACGTCACATGACCTCACAGCTTCCCAACAGCAAAACAGACCTCAAGGTAGTGAAGGTTGATCGTATATGAAGTCATCTATGGTATATGGGGCCATTCCGACCCGTTTTAGTGGTAAAAACAGGAAGTTGATTTTTCCCCCATTGACTTATAAATATGGGGAGGTCGCGAAATTGACCTGACCTTAGGTCAACGATATCAAAATTCCGAGATATACAAATTGTAGCTACTAATGACCTAATAACATTCTGCCACTTTCAAAGGCCTCCGACATCTACTGTAGCTCTGGCACGGTGACAAAGTTGCAAAAAAGTGACTTGAGGTTGGGTCATTCAAAGTGACCTGGTGACCTGACCTTAAAAGGTAGGAGGTTCAAACTTGCACACCATGTGTAAAATTGATGAGGGAATAGTCGTACCAAATTTCGCTCCCGCTATTCGCGAAAAACCTCAGGGGGGGGGCGGATATCCGCCCCCCCCCCCGTCGGTGCGCGGGTTAAACAATTTAAAACAAATCCAGCTTTACATGAATACTTTCTGTGATTCACGACGGAGGTACCACCCAGGCTGGTCGCCGCTACTCACATTGTGAATTCTCCCGTTCTCTCATCGTTTGGTCGACAAACAGCTTTGTCTTTTTGGGAATGTTGAGTTTAAGTTCCTTGCCAGCTGTCAGGGCACTGGCCGTCTCCATGGGCTCAAACTTGGCCCGGCGTCGGAGGATTTTCACCTGTAGGCCGCCGGCTGGACGAGCACAAAGCAGGGTTAGACACGGGGACGGGTATAAAGGGTAACTAGGCGTACAGAAAAACTGACGAGCTAAGACAGTAGTGACAGAGTTGGGAAAGAAAAGCGTCGAGATTGTGTCTGGCAGCTGGAAAATGTACAGTAACGCCGAAGTACAAGCGGAGATTATTAGCCTGCGGGTAGCACAATGGTTTATTTTGTTGAGTGAGTGAATAAGTGAGCGAGTGAGAGATGAATACAGAGTTCCTGGTCAGTCGAAATACACTAGGCCTAGGCGTTCACACTATCCACTGCAGACTATACAATATTTTCACCTGTAGAAGGCAGAGGTGCCAGTTGAGTGTATAGTATAAATATTCTATTTTTGTAACTAAATGAACGCAGAATCAGCATAACTTGGTAACCATTTCTCAAATCACCAAATGAACACAGCAGCTGACCATTGACCAGTGACATCTCAATCACAGTGCCATTCGCCTGTCGCCAGCCAGTCAGTTACTCTCCCATCACCCTCCTATCGATCTCCCCTCTCCCATCACTCTCCAGTCACCTACCTTGATCCACGATGAGCAGTACATTCTCCTCGCGGCCGAACCGTCCAAATCTCAGCGCGTTGGCGGCGTGTTCCAGCTGAAACGAGTCCACCATCTGGCGGTCCTGGTAGGTGCGTATCTCGCCATTTGACAGCGAGACGAGGAGCAGCTTCTGCGCGTGGCTGGCCAGCTCCATGGTGGTCATACAGAGCAGACTGGCGCCCAGACGCAGGCGCCACAGCAGCTTGCCCTGTGGAAAGTAGACGGTGGCAACAAGGTCAGGTCAAATCTCCGGGAGCTCTCGATATACATATTATTCCAAGCAAATGTTGACGGCATATAACCGACGAAGACATAGGGAGATAATATTCAGAAGGCAAAGCTATCGAGACTATTGTCGATCCCAAGGGCAAACATTGAATGATTTGGCAACTGGTCATAAGTTTATCTGCTTTGGTTGAAAGGGCACATACATAACTTTCTGGTAATCCACCTCTTCTCTTAAAAAAAAAAACTACTGATATTGAATAGGTGGATAAATGAACAAAGGAATCAATGACTGAGCAGAAGCAATCAATAAAAGGTTTGAATGAATGAATAAATGAATGAATGCTCGAATGAATGAATGAATGAATGAATGAATGAATGAATGAATGAATGAATGAATGAATGAATGAATGAATGAATGAATGAATGGTGAATGAATGAATGAATGAATGAATGAATGAATGACTGCCCGATTGAATGAATGAATGAATCAGGCAATGAATGAATTATCATGGGAGAATTCATAATTCACAATTCACATCTCCAATACGACCAATGCCATTAACACAGCCACTCCCGACACATCTCCTCTTCCCTTTCCTCCCCCACACTGTCCCCGCCTTCCGAGTCCCGACTGACGTGGTTGGAGAAGCAGTAGACGTTGTCGTCCATACAGCCGACCAGGAAGGACTTTTCGCGCCGCTCCAGGCCCACCGGCTGAGAGGAGAGCTCAGCAGTCAGTCGGCCCTCCTCCATGCCGCGCTTGGCAGTGTAAATCTTCCCTGGGTACACACAGAGCACGGGAGTGGGTGGCGACTGCCGAGAAGTCCTAGTAACAAGGAGTCAATACGATTACATCTCAGGAACTTCCTTTCGACACAACTGGACAGCGTCTAGCAAAGCTAAGCCATTACTTTCGAAATGTAAAACAGCATCGTTACTACAAAATAGGAATGTTCATGGTCGGGAGATGATGGATTAAATTTTGGGCACCCGGAAGCGACTGTAGAAGTAGCCGGCGTCCAAGCTCGTCTTATAAAACACACACCAGTCGATGAAAGTCGATGAAAATGTAACCGACACTTGTACAGCTTGGCTATGTAGTCGCCTTATGAAAAGCGCCGCAGACCAGTGCTTACCGTTTCTGCACGCGATCAGCATGCGGTACTCCACATCAAACATGCCCGTCACCGTCAGGATACTGGGCACGCTAGGCAGGTGCAGCTGAAATAGGGGCACACATCCATCAGCCATCACACCAGATAGGAGAACCAACCATCACGGTCAGGACAATGGGCACGCTGGGCAGGTGCAGCTGAAATAGGGGCAGACATCCATCAGCCATCACACCAGATAGGCGAACCAACCATCACGGTCAACTCAGGACACTGGGTACGCTCGGCAGGTGCAGCTGAAATAGGGGCACACATCCATCAGCCATCACACCAGATAGGCGAACCAACCATCACGGTCAGGACAATGGGCACGCTGGGCAGGTGCAGCTGAAATAGGGGCACACATCCATCAGTCATCACACCAGATAGGCGAACCAACCATCACGGTCAGAATACTGGGCACGCTGGGCAGGTGCAGCTAAGGAAGGGGCCAACAATCAACATCCATTATCCATCACCGCACAAATGAAAATAAATCGTAACTGCCAAGATAGGCACCGGACACGTTTACTTGACACGATGAGCCAGTAAACGTTTGGTAAGGTCTACTGACGTTTGGAGAGCAAGACATCTTGTCAGAAGTGGGATTCGAACCCACGCCTGGAGAACCAGACTGCGACCTGAACGCAGCGCCTTAGACCGCTCGGCCATCCTGACTATGCCGAGGAGGCCGTCCCCGATTTTTCGGGGCGGGCGGTCCTCAGCAGCACGACTGTCGTCTACTCACGTTCATCAGCAGGGTGAAGGCCTCCGGGTCTAGGACGTACACCTGGCAGCTCTCCGTGCCCAGCACCAGACAGCTGACGGCGTCCTCTTCCGCCATGTTCTTCTTCATGGTCGTGATGCAGGTGATCACCGTCTGCAGCAAGAACAGAAGGCGATTGTGACGACAACCACGACAATAAAGTCGCCGGTGTTCAGCTGAAGGGTAGTGTTTACTTTCTTTTCCCACTGTTAGGCATTTATGTGAAATGTTGCCTTTATTTCGATTGCATACCCCGTCCGTCCTTTCCGTCCTCAGGATGTTCAAATCCTTCTCCTCCAAGCCGCAACCCTCGCTCCGGGCTGGACAGGCAATTTTATATCATGCGGTCTGCTCCCTTAGAGCAACTCCGCTGCTCCCAAGGGAGCACACCCGTAGCCGGGTGCAGTGAGTACTTGGGGGGCTGGTCGGCCTGTTCTTTGGGACGGGCTCAGCCCCGGTGACTCACTAGGGTGCCCGTCCAGACCAATGCCTCCCCCTAATTCCTATCATCCTTCCGGCTCTTAATAATCTTGTCAGACCGAAAGGGCCTTACCTAACAAAACAAACCAAAACAAATTTATTTCGATTGTGAACCCAAACGCGAGACTAGAATGGGAGAAACGACGGTAGTTGACGCTCATTACGGAGCGAGCGGAGCGAGGCAAAGTCCGAAAATTCTGAGCATGAGCGGACGGTCGTGGTCACTGGTCACGCTTTTGCGAGACTTATGTCTCAGCAACCACTTCACCGATTTACTTGCGGTAATTTTCGTAGGGTAGCTTCATTCCTTCTACCAAGTACTGGACTACAGGGTGTTTAAAAAAAAGTGTCACAGTTTTGACGTCTCCCATTTCCTTATTACATGACCCACATCATTCAAATTTTCCAGATTCAGTGACAATTAGGACATTTTATGTTACAGAATTACCGGTTCCTTGACAAAACGGTTTTTACACCAGCACAAAAAATAAAACTCATTTTTTGTGCTTTTGCTTGTTGCACCCAGCAACGTGCTTGTCAATAGTTTTCTGTGGCTATTTCTCCCTGCCGAGGGCGGTCAGGGTGATGTATGGGACACCGATGGAACCTCGCCGAGTTTCCAGTTCCAAGACAGTGAGACGCAGACGACCAGTCTGCGTCTGGAGTACTCAGAAAAACTGCGGTCATCTTCGACCTCGTGAGGATCTACGCGTGGTCGTGCCACGTGAGTTTGGACCAACATTTGTGTTAGTTTCTCGTCTCATGTTTTAACTACCTACAATTTGTCACTGGCGCTATCGCTTCACACTTGACGGCCGTGCGTGCTCGCGGCGCACCGCATCATATTACCAAACGTGCTGCGTGAGCCTTTTCTGACTCTTCTCACAAGTTTCTCGTTCGAATTGCTTTTAGACGTACGACCTGATTGTTCTATTTGTCCGCGGCCACTTCTCGAGTCGCTGCGGGCAGTTTCCACTTGAACGTCACCGAGTACAGTCCTCGGTGGCGGTGCGCGAATCCGCCGGCGCCCCGATGTGCGCCGGTGTAAGTGAAGTGACGGAATCGTGCACCACGCATGATTCCGAGTTACGCGCGAGCTCCCGCTCTTCCGGTGCGCGGCGCGCTCTCCAGGCCACGGCCGGGCCGGCGCGCCGTTTGTGACGTCATGGAACGTGCTGTATGACTGACACATGGTGGAGCGTAAGCAGGAGAGGGGAGGAGGTCGGGTGGTGGTACTGAAAATGTTATTTTGTTGTGTGTATTGTCATATAAAGATGGACCGTTTGTTGCTATGACTCTGAGCACTGGGATTTGGGAATTTGAGAATTCGCTCTTGGCCAGAGCCAGGGCTGGCTAATGAGATGACTGAGGATGTGACGGGGCGAGTTCCAGAAGCGCCACCTTTGTGGCGGGCCGGGTGTACGTGCCACCTGCTGCTGCCGTTTTGAGCTGTACGGCGCGGACTCGGCCGTCAGGCCCTGGAAACACATGCAGCACGCGCGCCACAAAGGTGGCGCCTCGGGGCGTGTCAGATTCTGCTAGTAGCACCATGTCGCCGACTGCTAGGTTCCATCGATCGGCATGCCATTTTCTCCTGTGGGTATGGAGTCTAGGGTGCATCAAACGCCCCACTTTTTCGAAAAATTTCTACGAACCCCCTGTCACCAAAATTAATTTGTTACGTATCCTAAATGTATCAACCATGCCAAATTTCAAGAATTTCTGAAGCCATCTAGGGGGTCCGCATTGACCCTAAAGTTAACGAAATTTCATGAAATTGATCATTAATGGCGCTTAATTACAAATTATTTAAAATTATTCTTAGGTCAAAATATCTTTTAGAATCGCTAAACATTGCAAGTGCTATCCTAAAACTGCCCACCAAATCAATCTGAAATGTATCTGATTTCACCTATAGGAGTCTTGACACTCGCCCGTATTGGTGTTTTGTGTGCGTCTAACGTACAGGAGCTGGACCCTCTTGCTGTTCGGTCTCTGATTAAGCCAGAGCTTCACGGAAAAACTAGCGTGTTTCCCGTAACGAGAAGAAGCAGATGATATCAATTTCTACGGTCCTAGGTCATTGGTTGACCTTCCAGGTCAGGTCAATGACCCAAAAGTCGGGAAAATCGGGACCTGGTAGAACTTCGTGAATTGAGTTTGTTGTAGTTTTTCGGGGTGCTGATTACGATTTTCAGATCAGCTTTGATCAAAGATGATGTCTCCATGCATTTAGGCTTGGTCGGGTCAGGTCAGGTCAGGTCAACCAGTCGGAGTCCTGCCAGCTATCCATAGTAGGTGTAAATCACCACCGACAGCTTCGAAATATTACGAAGGCTTCGAATATATATTACGAAATATTACGATTAATATGTTACGAAGGCAACAAAACTACTTCGTAAGTGTTCAATGCTCAAACGTTTCAATGTAGTCACGCTTACGAGATGAGTAGACATTAGACAATGCTCTTATCATCAGACGCTACTGCAGTGTCAGTGCGTCTGCTTTTTGAAAGGCCTGCGCTCTCTCTCGTCTTTCTGGGCCATGTATCTGGTGCAACAACTATATAGCGCGGTGCAACAACTACATATACCTATAGCGCCAACCATTCAGCGTTGCATCCACTCGTCGACGCACGGGGAAGGGTCTTTCACAAGGAGATGAAACTCCAGAAAGTAGCAACTGGCATGTCTCAGATATTCCATTCCGGTCACCTGAGGTTCCGGAGGTTTCGTTCACGTGATCGTGACCTATTGTTTTGGGTCAATGGGGTAAATATGAAAACCGAGTCAGAATGATCATCGCCAGTCACACCCCGGCAAGACCGCGCCCAAACCTCGGCAACATTCAATAGAGCAAGTGGCGGCAACAAAACGAAGATATCAAGTTCGGACGTCACTACTGAAACCGCAAGGTCGTTGACAACGTCGGATACACCTGTCTGCGAGGGATGAGAGTCCAGACTTGGGATGCTCCACAGGGACTTGGTCCATCATGAGGTCGCCGAACAATTACCGACGGGAAGAGCGGCTTACTCTTGTTGTCGTTGAAGACGTGCTATCAAATTACATGAGAATTATTCACGGATTGCTAAAAAGATACTAACGAGTCACTCTAAACCAATAATAGCGGTGTTAACATTTACCTCAACATGAGTTCGTCTCAAACCGGTTTTGTCAGGGCTGCATGCGTGACAAAGTAACTTCATTTGGTTTTGACGCTGCCATGGTCGACTAGGAATTTCAGGCTTCATATCGGCGAGCTCATCATCGTGTGCGTCTTCTGCGAGCCCAGAGTCGAAGTATCGAAGTCATGTCGTTGAATCGCAAAACCATAAAATAAGCAAGAACCGCTCTAACCCAAGAAAACCCAAGTTAATCATTGGAACTTAACGAAGCGATTTGTTCCAGACTTCCCTCCCAGCAAAAGCCCTACTTCCTAAATATAGGTAATGCGTATCAGTTGACTAAGCTGAAACTATCTATAGTTATTATTTTCGTGCTTAATTTGGGCTTATTGAGGAAAAATCGCGATGATCTCAAATACTCTAAGTGATGTCAAAGGACGTCATATAGGGCACAAGTTGAATACAGACCAGGCATCAGTCCACGAAAACGGGGCACAAAAATAAATTTCAATTCCTCAAACATATTTGGATCATATTTGGCGCTAACTGAGCACTACTCAGTTAGCGCCAAAACAGATACAGAAAAAACAATACAGAAACTGCTCAGTGAGCAGTTTCTGTATCACTACCTATGGGGCATAATGGAGGTGTCACGTGACTGACCTGACCTCAGGCGACCTTTACGGAAAAGAAAATCAGAGGAAAAAAGCTGTAAAAATTTGAAAGCTTGTGATTTCCTAAGTTTCGTCTCCCTGCGAAAGATGCCCCGACTCTGAGAGCGCTGCGAATCTATGCAGCATTTTTAGACCATCGAGAGGTTCGCATATGACGTCATAGGTCACTGACCTGACCTGATATCAAAATGCAGCAAATGCCAAATGTTCAGGCTTAAGTATCAAAGGTCAGCTAAGCCAAATTAAAGTTCCCTAACCGGACGTGTTTCGACCGATCGCGACAAAAACAGCAGTGGTCGCACCAACCCCCTCCATCGGGGAAGGCTAAGTGATGAAGCATGTTCATAGCTGATGCGGACCCCCTAGATGGCGTCCGATATAATTTTAATTTTGCACAGCGTCATTGTGCTACTAGTGGAACAAATTGAATCAACAGACAGATCGATTTGAAGACATCGGGGCGTTTGATGCACCCTAGTATGGAGGTACTCTCTTTTCCATCTTCGCCAGAGATGGTCTGTCATGAGTGCTTGAACGCATGTACCACCATCTTTTTGGAAGTGCAGATCCTGGGTGCTGAATACTCCAGAGGGAAGACAGCGGCTTCCCCTTCCCAAGAGATACAGTAGAATCCGCTTAATAAATGCACTTGGTAATACTGCGTTTTGGGTTAATTAAGAAGTGGTTTTATTAACCGGAGTCAGTTATGCTTCTACGGAGAAATCCGTGAACAACTCATGTGGCCACAATGCGGCTGGATTTATTAGCTGAGGTAGGTTATTAAGCAAATTCTACTGTATAAGGGAAAAATATCAATATGAGCAGCCCGGCCCGGCCTGTAAGCCATTTGAGAGGCTTATAACTCAGCAACCGCTGGGCCGATTGACCTGCGGTCTTCTTTGTTGGGTATCCCCATCCTTTTCTACCCCGTAACCGACTAGTATTGAAGCAAAGGTGACCGCCGTGGCACGTGCAACGTGAATAGCCAAGAGCGTTCTAGTTGTTCTGCTGAAGTGATAATTTTGAGAGGCCTATATCTCGGCAACCGCTGGGGCGACTGACTGGTGGTTATTTCCGTAGAGTAGTTGCATCCCTTCTTCCAAGCATCGGATACCCTCGATACATGTGAATCACCTCTAATGCAGGTGCAAAATGCAAAAAGAAGGGGTTTATAGGTATGCTTACTAAGTTAGTAGCTTTTTGCCCAGCTCACCGCTTTTCAAAAGCAAATAGAATTGTTCGACTGCCAAATGGTTTGTTTTATCTCCAGAGCGTGAGAACGACAGAAGCATTTTAGCGCGTAGATGAACTATTCGGATCATGGCTTGGGTTTTCCTGACGAGAGGAGAGCCAGATAACGGGCTAAAAAGAGGAGCAAGACAGTTTGTCAGAAGTGGGATTCGAACCCACGCCTGGAGAACCAGACTGCGACCTGAACGCAGCGCCTTAGACCGCTCGGCCATCCTGACATTGGAAACGATGAATGATCTCGGTTTAGAGGAGAAAAACTACAATTCATGTGTCGCTTGACCCCTTCTCCCCCCCCCCCATTCACACATAGCTGACGAGCACCTACCCGCTTCTTGACGATGAAGTACTTGTGCGCGTCGATGAAGGTCTGTCGCTCCTCTGGTGTGCGGCACATGAGCAGGTGCTGGGTGCGCGTGGTGAGACAGTGGGCACCCACGTCCTTCCGAAGCAGGTCCAGGGTGTCGTACAGGGTCGCGTGGTCGATCAGGTCGTCACGAGCCTGGGGCAGAACCAACAGAGGTCATCAGATGCGGGCTGAGTGGCAAACAACAAAGGGGGCACAGCGGCCATGATGTGACTGGGAGGGACTAGTCACCGTTGGAGAGACTTGGGAGGGACATGATCACCAGGTGTCTGACGGAAAACGTGGCAATCACCGGGTACTTACCAGGGTCACGCTTTTAACGTACATACATCTGAGCAAATATAGAGGAGTTCAGCCATATGTATCGATTGAGTACTTCTAGAATGAGGCAATGATATACAACATTTGGGCCTGAAGCAAATATATTAGTGGCACCCAGAGATCGAAGTGGAATTTATTTGTGTTATATATCTTGCTGTACTTTGCTGACCCAGACGTCGAACTGTCGAACTGTGCATCACTCTGCTAATAACTTGGTCCAAATGTCGAAATATACAACCTCCCAGGGTTCAAAGATCGAACTAAGCACCCTATGGCTGCCTCTTGGAGTCCAGAGATCGGACTACAAGTCAAACCAATGTTTGGGAGTCGAACTGAACACCCCTAAGCAGACACCTGAGCTCTGTTCGCCCCCCGTTTATTTATCAGCAGGCTGCGAGCATGCTGCTACTTCTTGGCTCCTCATTGGTCAAATTCAAGTGGTCTATTCGTTAGACCAATCAGAGGCCAAGAAACGCCAGCAATAACTTCATTATATGGGAAAAACCGACAGCATGCTGATATAAAAACAGCTACCGAACAGGGCCCTGGGCCCAAAGGTCGAACATTCGCCCTCTGCTATCCCCCGGCCCCAAAAAGTCGAACAATTTGTCACTCTGCGCGTACCTGGGTCCAGAGGTCGAACTCTGACGGGTTGACCTCGAGCGTGGGCAGCGTGAATTTGAAGTAGGGCCGCAGGTTCTTGTAGATGTAGATGTAGGCGCCCGAGGCGACGGCGATGGCCGGTACGCGCGGCTCCGTGGTGTCCATGTGGAAGGTGACGACGCCGGTCGGCAGGTCCAGCAGCGTGTTCTCCGACATCAGCGAGGTGCCGCGAAACACCTGGCAGGTCAGCAGTCACATACTTAGTTATCAGTCAGTCAGTGCTGTGATACACGAGTATATGAAGTCCAGTGATGCGGAGCTATAACAAAAACCAGCAATGCTAATTTGAATTGTAACACGCTGTGTTTGAATTGAATTCGGCTACTCAACACTGCTACGTGATCTTTCAACGTCTTTACTGGTCACCTGCCTTCAGTTTCATCTGGTAGGTGCCAGTGCCCAGGTCTGCCACAATCAGCTTGGAGTCTCCGTCCCCATTTAGGTCGGACAGTGCTATCGATGAGTTGAATGTGTACAGAGACGTCAGTGGATCACTGAGAGCGTCCAGCCACTTTTCAGACTTGTCTATTCTGTGAAAATAAAAGATTACAATAAGTAATGTAATTATCATAATAAAAATGTAATATATAAATAAAAATGTGACTGTATTGTGCATGCACAAACTTTGTTTATGGAGATAAACCACATTACCAGCATCCAATCTGGCTTCATCCAATCTGGCTTCAGTATTCCAAAACACAAGAAAGCCTCTTTGAACACTTCTATGGGGCTTTATAAAACGTAGCTGTGGCAATTAGAATTGAATAGGTAGGTATCATATACAAAAGCATACATTCGGATTGCATGCCCTATATTTGGCATTGAACCCATATGTGTAAATGACAGCACATTGTGATAGAAAGCAGAATAACGAAAAAGTGGCTAGCTACTAAAATCACATAACAGTTGCATTAAAACTTACTGTTTCAAAGATGTTGTGCTTCCCATATATGCATTGCTTTTGGCTGCCATTGTTTTTCTTTACTTTGTCCTGTAAAGAAAAGATAAGTAGTATGCCCCTCCTCCACCCCTCACTGCAAGCTGCAAAGTATGGCCATCTCCATCAGACCTTGTCATTGTGGAGGGGAGGTGCTCTCCATGTGCAATGTCATGGTGCATATTGACTATAATGTGGTACTTTGCTTGGAGCAGTACAAACCCTCAGTGGTACTAGAACTGTGCTGAATCACTGTACCACTGCACATTGTCTGAAAGAAGTGTATGCATGGGGGACAGCAGGTGGTAGGCTAGGGATTTAGGGAAGAAAAGACCTTTTATTCAAGTTTTGTCTCAACACAAAGTCAGCATTCAATGCCCACAACAGGCCCCAAAGGCCTCTTCCAGTTATACCTTCAATGCCCTGTTTGCTGCAGCCTAGTGTGGATTTCCAGCCTGGCTGATGCACATAGCACATAGTTGGTCACTGGTGTGGCATTGTCATCCCAAGTGGTGTGGTACCTCATGGTCCTCATTGACCCTGTTCTTGTGCTTTGCAATTTGCCCGCCCCATACCCACCTTGGAATCATCCAACACTAAATAGACCCATTATCAAATTCACCATTGGCAGATATACATGAGCACCATCACTTCTTATTCAATAATAAGTCAATAATAAGTCAATTTGTATTGTCCTAAACTAAATTTTAAATTATTTTATCTGAAGGCTGCAGAGATTTGAAATCAATTGCAAATAAAACTGCTCATTTCAATTCAAACTGAGCCTAAGACTGTACAGTACAGCAATATCGATCAGACCTCTTCTGTGTGGGGGCACCAAGGCTATATAAACTGATAGCTCAGCTAACAACTTGGGCGCAATCTGGTTCGTGGTGCTGCGCGGATTATGAAGAACTTTGAACTAATTATCATCATTCTTCAGTACCTTTACGTCTGCCAGTCTAATACCCAATCTTCGGCATTAGTAGAGCTGACATCACACAAAAGTTTTCCATCCGAGGATGAGGAGAGGCGCTGTAGGTTTGTAGGCTGTAGGCCTGTAGGCCGGTACTGGTAGGTTTGTAGGTTTGTAGGTTTGAGATTGTGAATACGGCCAATAGTGAATATGGCCGAAGAGACTGGAACTGTTGTTCATGTCGTGTTGCACCGAAACCTGGGCCCAATCTTACGAATGCCGTAAATAGGATTTGGCAGCACTGGCCGGAGTTAACGGCTCTCATATCAAAGATATCCCTTTTATTTACATGCAGCTAATTTTGTCCAAAGATTTTGATAGCACGAATGATTATGAATGTTGCCTGAACGAATGAATAAGTGAATGTGGAATAGGTAGTTCTGAAAGTTACCAAATGCCGTGAATGGGACGCCGGTGAAAACAGGGCGCCGGAGGGCATACTTGTCACGTGACATTTGGAACTTCTCCCCCTCTGTGGGCCTTCTGCATGCCAAACGTCACGTGTAAATTTCAGGAACCTTGATCAAATCGCCCCAGGCACCCTGCCTGTTTTCACCGTCATCCTGTGAATGCGCATTCACGGCATTTGGTAACATTCAGAACTATTCCACATTCACTTATGCATTCGTTCACGCAACATTCATAATCAATCACACTATCAAAATCATTTGACAAGATTAATTCAAAATCAAACTGGAATGCAAAATAAGCGTGCATACCAACACCTTGGTCAGAACGCCGGTGAAAACAGGGCGCCGGAGGGCATATTAGTCACGTGACATTTGGAACTTCTCCCGCTCCATGGGCCTTATATATGCCAAACATCACGTGTAAATTTATCGAACCTTGATCAAATCGCCCCAGGCGCCCTGTTTTCACCGTCGTCCCTTGGTCATTGATACTAACCGATGTCCAATACCACCAAGGCCACCAAGGCCCTAAAACATACATACAACAGTGTATATAAATAAATATATGAACATAGTAAATATAGTAAATATAGTAAATATATAAATATAGTATAACCATACAAATACCACATGTCATGATGTGCTGTGTGTAAATAACAACAGCGCCTGTGTGTAAACAATTTTGCGCAGTAGTTTGCCCTAAGGCGTTGTATTTGTAGTAGTGCCATATGAAGTGATTCCTTTATCATCAGGTAAAGGTGGTAGGGCAATCTTGATATAATTTCAATGACGCGTTTACACGCGTTTTACACTCGAGTAGTAAAGGAATCTTGCGTTTACATAGCGTTTGTTGCAACTAAGCTTATATCTCCGACTCCGTCCGGCGTCTACGATGTTGCAAAAGATGCCAATGGTGCTTAACCCGCGCCGGGCCGGGGGGGGGGGGGTTGGGGGTTTGAACGCCCCCCCCATGCGGTTTTTGGCAGATATCTCAAAAACGACGGCACGGAGCGCCGCCGTTTTTAGCACACCTGTTTGTGCATCTTTTCCGCACATGTTGTGAAAATTTGAGACCCAGGTCGCCTTAGGTCAGGTCACCAGGTCACGCCAAGTGACTTCACCTCAGAAAAAAATTAAGAATGCTCGTCATTAGCTACACCGACTGATCGATTGCCTTGAAACTTTTAGCGATTAATTAGAGCAACATTATCTATAAAATGTATATCTCGGAATTTTGATATCGGTGACTTAACCCGCGCCCCACTGGGGTCTGCCGAGCAACGCGCCCTGCTGGGGGGGGGGCAATTTGCCCCCCCCCTAAGATCTCGAGAACCACGCAAGATAGCAACAAACAAGCGGCGAACGGTGTTGGATAGCCCTACCAGGGAACTACCTTGTGACCCAATTTGATCAAACCGATGACGTCACAGGTCAGGTCAAATGTCGAATTTTCACCGTTTACAGGCAGTTCAAGAAATGCGTTGTAAAATCGAGTAAAATGCATTTCATTGAGAATCATCGGTGGGCAAATGTTCGTCAAACACATATTCTGCTATTTGAGGTCACTGGTACCAGGGCCCAATCTTACCAAATGCCGTGAATGCGCATTCACGGCATTTGGTAACATTCATAACTATTCAACATTCATGTATTCATTCGTTCGGGCAACATTCATAACCATTCACGCTATCAAAATCATTGGACAAGGCATAGGCGTAGGAACAGGGGGGGCCAGGTGGGCAAGTGCCCACCCACTTTTCGAGGTGGGGGGGCCAACCATGTGTTTTGGCCCACCCACTTTTTACTCGAGGCCCCTCGTCTCGATTTGAGAGGACGTCGTCATCTTCCAGAATAAACAAACTCGGTAAAAATAAGTTCCACGAATCCCCACGCACGGACTCCAAGGGGCCGTGATGGATCCAAGGAGGCCCTCTGTTCATACTTGTCAGTCGAAGCCCCTGAGACTGATGGCCCTGAGAGGCCCTAGTGGATCTGAGGAGGCCCCAATATCCACACTGGTCTGGGGAGGCCCCTGACACTGGCGGTCTGGGAGACCCCTCTATCTACACTAGTCAGAGGTCTGAGACTGGTAGTCTGGGAGGCCCCTCCATCCACACTAGTCAGAATAGGCCCCTGACACTGGCGGTCTAGCCGAGGCCCCCTACCCTCACTAGTCAGAGGAGGCCCCTCTATCCTCAATAGTCAGAAGAGGCCCCTGAGACTGATGGTCTGGGAGGCCTATCCATCTACACTGTAGTCAGAGGAGGCCCCTGAGACTGATGACCTGAGAGGCCCTTATAATCACACCAGGCAGAAGAGGCCCATGAGACTGATGGACTGAGAGGCCCTTCTATTCATACTGGCTTCAGGAGACCCCCAAAACTTTCGGTCTGGGAGGTCCCTCAATCCGGCACCAGTCAGAAGAGTCCCGTGAGACTGATGGCCTGGGAAGCCCTTATATTCACACTAGGCAGAGGAGGCCCCTGAGACTGATGGTATGAGAGGCCCTCATATTCACACCAGTCAGAAGAGGCCCCGAGGCTGATGGCTGTGAGGCCCTTCTGTTCATATAACTGGCCACTGGAGGCCCCTGAAACTGGTGGTCTGGGAGGGCCCTCTATCCAACCTAGTCAGAAGAGGCCCCTGAGACCGATGGTCTGAGAGGCTCTTATATTCATAATGGCCACAAGAGGCCCCTGAGACTGATAGTCAGAGAGGTCCACTCCTAATGAATCTGAGGGGGCCCTCTATCCACATTTACACTTTTCTAGGGAGGCCCCCGAGACTGATAGTCTGAGAGGCCCTTTTATTTATACTGTCCAAAGGAGCCCCCTGAGATTAATGGTCTGAGAGGCCCTTCTATTTATACTAGCCAGAGGAGGCCCATGAGACTGATTGTCTGAGAGGCCCTTCTATTCAAACTAGGCAGATGAGGCCCATGAGAATGATAGTCCGAAGAGCCATGCGGCGGCAACTGGCCGTGGCCATATTTCGGCTCGGTAGGGCCCCACAGAGCTCATGAGAGCACCTCAAGGGCTCCTAAGTAGACGCGCTTATCCCCATAAGGGTGCCACGCCGGCTTCTGAAGGCTCCTTGTAGGCATCTAAGGGCCCTTTTCGGCCTCTAACGGCTCCACCCGCCTGTGATGGCTCCACACCAGTGTTTATGAGCGCCACACAGCGGCGCCTTTGAGGGTCATACTAGTGTCTCTTAGGGCCCTATATCGGTGGCTCTGGGGGCCCCACACCGGCGCCTCTGTGGGCCACCACACCTGTGCATCTCAAGGCTCTATAGAAGGACCCACACCGACACCTCTGAAGGCCCCACACCAGTATCTCGGAGCTCTGAAGGCCCCACACCGGTGACTCTGAGGACTCACCGGCTCCTGAGAGCACCATGTTGATGTCTAACGGTTCCACAAGGCCACTGAAGGCACTACACAAGCTCTCACTGAGCTCTAATGTCCATGTACCGCCTACCGGCCTCTGAGGGATTTAAGCCAGCACATTCATAGCTCCACACCAGCAATTGTAAGGGCTTCACACTGAAGTATCTGAGGGTTCCACACCGGTGTCTCTAAGGGCCACATACCAGCATCTCTGAGGGTCCCATACCGGCGTCTCCGAGGGTCCACATCTGGCGGGCACCCATCAGCGACTGAAGGTCCCACACTGTCGACTCCGAGAGCCCCATCTGCGTCTGGGAGCACCGTGTCGTCTCTAAGAACCATAACGGCTCCTCCGTCGAAAGATGGGCGTCTGCATGCCAAAGGGGAGCGGTTCTGAGACAGTAGGGCACCTACGTGCAATAGAGGGGCGCCTCAATGCGAAAGAGGGGTGCCTCTGAGGCCTACATACCTATATGGGCGTCCACATGCAATAGAGGTCTGCAAATAATTGATCAATGCCATGGGGGTGCATTCATAAGAAACAGGGGCGCCGGCATGGCAAAGAGAGGCGCTTTCAAGTGTCCATAAAAGAGAGACGCCTATGATAAGCGCACATTGTATGCGACAACGGGGCGACTGTGGGACATATAGGGATGTCTCTGATGACTATACATAGGGCGCTTATATGCCAAAGAGGGCGCCTATGAAGCTAATGGGGGCACCTGGGAAACGAGGAAGACATTTGTGTAAGGGTTTTCAGGGGTCATGCGCCGTTTGCAGCAAATAGATTCTAAAAAATCGGAGGGGGAATAAGTTTAAAAATGGTGCGGACTTTCCGCACTGTTCGCTTAACCCGGCAGTTGCTGGGGTATTCCGCCACCCACCGTTTGCTGGGGGGGGGGGCGTTAAACGCCCCCAGCCGATAACTCGAGAACCGATAGGCGCAGCGAAACGCACGAGGCGGCAAACGAAAGAACGCGACAAGACGCTTCAGATGAGTACTTTAAAATTGAATTTTGAGGTCACAGGTCGGGTCAAGGTCAGGTCAAACACCTGAAATCGGGCTTTCAGTAGCATGGACTTCAGGACTTCGCAATGGGCGCCTCTCGTCATAAACTCTGTCAAAACGGTGCACAATCCATCATATAAGGCCTACAAGAGTGTCAGCTTCATGTAGGGGTCAGTCAAGCATAGGTCAGGGTCAAGGTCAGGTCAACCGGGTAAGCACATATCCCCGAAAATCAAAACTGATATTCGCAGCCTGTGACACATGTTTTATGGGTAATTTGGGGCGTAAAACACGATGGTGACATTCAGCTTATCATGTGTATACGTGTTTGGCTCAAAAAGTTCAATTTAAGAAATGCATGTATCATGGTCGTGAAGGAGTCACGAGAAATTGCCAAGATTCAGTTCAAGATTTTGGAAAATGTGGAACGATAATCAATAATCGAAGATAGCCATTTGATTGTTCATGGTATTGGCAGTCTAACTGCCTTTACGGCATGTCTGTATGTCTATTCTGTGATTTTATATGATTTTTTGAACATATGCCGTTTTTGGTCGAAAATTCAGAAATCATGACGTCACTAAAATCTCGATATCTCAAAGATTTTCCGACCGATTTTTTTAAACTTTGTCGCAATAAACTTCAATCAATTTCCTACAGGTACCCAAAATTTGGCGCGCCTGCGGCGCGCCGTTTTTATGCTATGGCCCGGCGAAAAAAGTGGGGGCGTTTAACGCCCCCCCCCCCCAGCAACTCGCGGGTTAAGCGGTTACGCCCCTGGGTACATCAGCCCGATCTCAGAAGCTAGATTTGGAGGTCATACTTGAAAGCAGCCAGCAGGACGAGGCAAAAGTTGGAGGCCCCTGAAAATAAGAGGCCCCCTGGAAAAGGAGGCTGTCGTACTGCGCTGTGGGTAGCGCGTGGCTGGACGGACGGTCTGTGACAATCTATTGATCTGTGGCTGATCTATTAGAGTGTCCGTCCGAGAGCCGTACGACGGCTGACAGAGCCTGGGGTCGCGAACTGGTGTGGTAACCGTTACGCCCACCTGGGACGCCCGAGTCGGTACGGCACTTGCGGTGTCGTAACCGGATCGGCGGGAACCAGCAGAACGCTGTTGGACCGGCGGTGAAAGTCGGAAC